CCGCAAGGATCCGATCGCAGTGTGCACCGCTGGACCTCAACCGCAAGAATCCGATCGCAGTGTGCACCGCTGGACCTCAACCAGATAGATTGCCAGATAAAATGCCAGATAGAATGCCAGGTAGATTGCCAGATAGAATGCTGCAAGAAGATATGCCAGATAGTATGCCAAATAGTGTGTCAGATAGATTGCTAGATACATTGCCAGATAGAATGCCAGAAAATATGCCAGATAGAATGCCAGATAAAATGCCAGATAGAATGCCAGAAGATATGCCAGATAGAACGACAGATAGTATGCCAGACAAAATGCCAGATAGTATGCCAGACAGTATGCCAGATAGTATGTCAGATAGATTGCCAGATAGAATGGCAGATTGAATGGCAGATAGTATGCTTCAAACACACAACCACAAACACAACCACAAGCTCACAACCACAAACACAACCACAAACACACAAATACAAACACATAACCACAAGCACGCAGCCACAAACACAACCACAAACACGCAACCACAACCACAACCACAACCACAACAACAAACACAACCACAAAAATAACAACAAACACACACCCACAAAGACACAACAATTGACACACAACCACAGACACACAACCACAAACACACAACCACAACAACAAAACCACAAAGACACAACCACAAACACACAACAACAAACACAACCACAAACATAACAACAAACGCACACCCACAATCACACAACAATAGACACACAACCACAAACACAACCACAAACACACAACCGCAAACACACAACCACAACAACACAACCACAAAGACACAACCACACACACAACTACAAACACACAACCACAAACACACAACCACAAACACAACCAGAAACACACAATCACAAATACACAATCACAAGCGCAATCACAACCACAACCACAACACACAACCACAAACACAATCACAAACACAATCACAAACACAACCACAGCACACAACCAGAAACACACAACCACAAACATAACAACAAAGACACAACCACAAAGACGCAACAATAAACACACAACCACAAACACAACCACAAACACACAACTACAAACACAACCACAAACACATCCACAAACACACAACCACAAACACACAACCACAAACACAACCACAAACGCACAACCACAACACACAAACACAAACACAACCACAAACACACAACCACAAACACACAACCACAAACACGCAACCACAACAACACGACCACAAAGACACAACCACAAACGTACAGCCACAAGCGCAACAAACACATCCACAAACACACAATCACAAACACACAGCCACAAACACACAATCACAACCACAACCACAACCACAACACAGCACACAACCACAACCGCAACACACAACCGCAGCACACAACACGAGGACCCACAAGCAAAATCGAGAACTACACTACTCACGACCATGGCAACATGCTCCACACTATGGCATCAAGTCAAATGATTGAAATGTCATGGTGGGGATCACTCGAAGTAAAGTAATTGTTTTTTGCACTGATATAATCTACATGTATAGTTGTTGATTGCTTTGAAAAGGACGTGTTGGTTGAATCCAGGGTGCAAAGCGGCTATTCAGCTATTTGAGAACCCTCAACCAAAATGCTCCAACATCGTAGCTAGCGAGCTGTTTCAATGTTGCATAGCCCCAAGTATTTCATTGAACTTGAAGAGGTCCTTTGATGGCTTTAAAACAACAGAAAGGCCTGCTGTGAGCGGCAACCAATTGACTTTTGCGGAAGATATTGAAGTATAATCTGACGAAATCCACAGCTTACCACTGGCTTTGCTGCATGTGTGGCATGAGAGGACTTGTGCCTGTATTTGGCTGCATCCCTTTTCTGCACTCTAGAAGCACATATGAATCTGGATTAATCATGCTCAATGTAAAAGAAACATGTGTCCACAGCGACTCTTGTAAATCATGTACTTACTACATTGTATTCAATAAGAGCAACATGTTCCCCTAAAAAGCAACAGTTTTTCCTGCAGCCCAAGATGTGCCGCCAGCAATCTTTTGTGATGCATAACTCGAACAAGCAGTCATGAAGTCTTGATGTTCTTTTTGGGCCTGATATAATCTACATTGTTGATTGTTTTGAAAAGGAAGCTTTGGGTGAATCCCGGGTGCAAAGCGGCTATTCAGCTTGTTGAGAACCATCAACCAAAATGCTACACCATCGTAGCTAGCGAGCTGTTGCATAACCCCAAGTATTTCATTGAACTTGAAGAGGTCCTTTGATGGCTTTAAGAAATCCTCAACCCAGCTGGGACTTCTAATCTCCTACCACGCTGGAGCATAGTGGCACAACTCCATCGTCTTGCATTCCTTGCTTCGAGCAGGGAGCCTATCACGCCCACTTGGACTCACTTACATGGACTGCGCAAATAGGCACCTGGAAGTTTGCGGAAAGGTTCCTCTCAAAAGCAACAGGTTTTCCTGGTGGTCCAGGAAAAGACGCCTGGGCAAGATGTGCCGCAGAAGGCTGCAGAGCCTGGGCTGGATCCTTCTGGTCAGTGGAGTTGGCAACATCCATCCGGTGACATCGAAACCCGCATGGAGGCACCTGCTGTTTCCCCTCGGGATGTTTATTCTTCACATCTAAGACATGGAATGTGGTATGGATGAAAAAGAATCCGAAAGGAAGATCGGACTGTCCTACTCACGAAGAGAGGGGGGTTCCACTTGTAGTGTGATTTTTTCTCTGAGTGAGTGGACGGGAAAATCCATAACGGTGTCCTGGCTGGAGGTCCCTATAGGTCGTGGGCTGGTTTCGCGAGCTTCCAGCCAGGTGACGTAGGTCGGAAGGTGCTGGTACAATTCATATGACATGTGAAATAGGATCATAAACCCCTAAACCCTTAAAGGTACATACAAAACCCTTAAACAATTCATATGGTACAGACTAAACCCTTAAACCCTTAAACCCTAAACAGGCATTCGGCATGGAGCCGGGACGACCCTTCGAGCCGGGACGACCCTTCGACTTCTGAACGTCCCCTCGCGGAGGGAGGCGGATGGAGGCGGACGAAACCGTCAGATGGGGGCAGATGGACGGTTCAGAACCGTCCAGTCAAACGAACCAGTTCTTAGTTGATGTTCCAGCCCAGCGCGAGAGCGCAGAAAGAGAGCAGCGCTCTCGAGCGCTTGGTCTCTGCTCCGTCCGGTCGTTTCGGAACTATTTCTTTTCGACCCTCCATCGACCCCCACTCAGCTGAGAGCTTGTTTCTCTGCGGAGAACGGTGGGCTCATTTCGCCCTCGCCGGCGTTTTGGGCCGCGCGCCGCAAAAGCTCAGGAGATTCCGACGCTCAGTGTGAAGGACAAGGACGATTCGGTCGTGGAAGTCTCGTATGAGTGGGTCCTGATGGGCCCAAAGACGGTGTGTCGCCAGACTCCCCAAGATCCGATGCTCGGATGGACCGATGGATGAGGAGGGAGGGAGGGTCGGAATCGGAGCTGCACACGGTATGACAGGGTGGGGTCGGCTGAGCAGAACGGAGCTCGCGCTCTGCGGACCGCGACCAACTGACAGGGTCGGGATTGTTTTTGCCGGGTACTGTACCGGGGGTGTACCTCGGCCTGTAAGGTTGGAGGGGGGGGTTGATGACGGAGTCATTGTAGAGATGATTGAAGAGTCTCCCCCTATAAGCTTGGAACCTGAACATGGACGCAGGAAGTGGTCTGGATTTGTTGTTGGTCTGTCGCAGGTGATATCGAATTCGTTATGGGTGTGACCAAAGAGAGACATTGCCTCTCATAGGTCTTTGCCAGGCTAACATATTTGACCCATTTGTAATTGTAATTAGGTGCCAGGCAGATCTGTGTGACACACCGCCTTCCCTACTGGTCGGCAGAACGCAGAACGCACACTGGATGAATTTCGCGGATCAGTTGCCGTGGATCCTGGTTGAGGGATTGGTAGATCTTCTATGGAACGCTCATCCTCAAGAGGTTGTCTTATGTATGCAGATTGGGATGGATGATTTGTTGGTCAAACACCCAGTGGTATCCCCAAAACTTGTTTGCGAATCCCAGTCCCCTCACTTCTTTCAAAGGTGTGTTTCTGTTTGTGGTACTCCAATGGGTACTGCTGGGCGTGTTTCCATGGAGTTGTTGTTCCAACTGTCAGTTCAATGGTCTTTACTTTTGGAATTACAGTATGTATGTTTGTGTAAAGTTAAGGCAAATGCAATTCGATCAGCCATCCTGCCGCCCTAAAGAATTGCAGCTAAATAAGTAAATATAAGTAAGAAAGTCAATCATTGTCATGTGTACGTGTATATATATATATAGAGTCACTTCGTCAGGTTGGTATATATTCAATCAACAACTCAACAACGGAAGCTACTGTACATGAACTATGTACCTTCCAATTGTCTTCACGAGAGTGGTGTACATACACAAAGACAACCTGGAGCTCATTGCACACGTATATGTATATAATGTATACATTTAGAATATATTAATATACTTATTAATACACATTTGTTTGTTTTGTTAATTTTTCAGAACACGACGTTGTGGAGGTGTCTGTTTTCCCAGTGCTCTAGTCTTCTTACGAATTTACTATCTATGCGCTGGAGGTGTTCTTATTTCAGGATAAAATGTAGGAGGATACTGTCACATCACGCGCCACATCACAGTAGCAGACATCGCATAGACATCGCAATGTCGCCAGCGTCGCGGACATGGACCGCACAGAGTTTCCCAGAGGGGGGGGGGGTCGACCAAAAAAATAAAACTGGTGACTTTGATTTGAGGCAGCACCATTTTTTTTTGCCGACCCCCCTGGGAAACGGAGAGCATACTGAAGAATCAGAAAGGAAAATGCGCAAGGAAATGGAATAGGACAATCCTGATGAGACCTCATGTGTTGAAGGGGGTTTTTGATGAAAGGTCCAAGTAGGAGACAGAGATTCTGAAGCATCAGCAAAGCACAACAGCAGATGAGAGAACGCAAAGGAGTGGATTGAGCAAAGGGAAGAAAGCATCAGGTGGGAACCACATGAGAGTCAGGGCATCAGGTGGGAGTGCCAAGCAACAATTCCCCCACTTGGTTGGTGAGGTTAAGACATGGTTGGAAAGGGAAAGGAGTTATGGGCATGGGGTGCAGAAGATGGATCTTGCATGGAAATATTTTCAGCTGCTATCAGTGCAGGAAGTCAAGCTTGAGGAGAAAAGGGACGAGCTGGAAGATGGGCCCCAGAAGATTCTTTGTAGCAATCAATTGGAAAGGGCTGAATCCCAAATGAAGAGCATCAAAGAGGGGTATAAGCAAAAGGGAAAAGAGGGCCAAGATGCTTATGGATTCTTTTGGTGCCGAACATATGACTCCAAATGTGTTGGCGCCCTTGAGCAATGAGGAGCAGCAGATTTCAGCAGAATTGGCATGGAACCACTATGACTATATCATGGGCCTTGTGTCCATGGGGCATGAAGATCTGAAGGAATTTGTGGCAAAGCCTGAATGTGTGCTTGGATTCTCAGATCAGGTTCCTGTATGGGTGAAAAAGGGATCAACTAAGGCTGTATTTGCAGGCCATGAGACCAGGACACATGGGAAGACCATCAAAAAGATTAGGAGGGACCTTCAAGATGAGCTGAACCAACAAGCCCATGAGACAGGAACCCAATGAGGACCTTGAGGCATTGGATGATCAGAAGAAGCAAGATTGGCAATTGGTGACCACTGAAGATCAAAAGGGTGGGGGAAGAGCTCATTTGACTATCAAGACGGACTCAGCAACTGAGAAGATGAGGATTACCTTTAAGGCCCATCAGCTGGCGAGCAATTTCTTCAACCCTGGTGAGGACCCCATTGGACATGTGAGCAAGGGGGCGCTCATAGTACCTGGGCAACATGCAAGATTGGACAAGATTGATGACAAAGGCAGGTGGATTGAGGATGAATCATTCCTGCATAGGAAGGGAGAGAGTGCCAGGAGGGCATTGGAGCAATGGGTCAAGATCAGAAGGGGTCATCCTCATTTGTTGGAGCACTATGATGTTTATTCCCAACCATCCTCCAATCAGGACAATATCATTATGTCATGAGTCATTGGAAAGCAAGGGAGGATGTATCCAGTATCATCTATCAGAGGGATTGCTTTGCTGCTTCATTTAGCGATGATACATACAAGATGATGTACGCAGCCCATCAGCTACAGTCTATCATTCCTCCAAAGATGACAGCTATGATGCAATTGACAGATACAGACTTTAGCTATGTGTTTAACAACTTGATGAGGAAATCTGTTGATAAGATCATGGCAAAGGGGCAGCAGGCTATGGGCACAAGTGATGTGCACCAGATGGGTGAATGCAACGAAAACGTAGAAAATCTATTGAAAATCGTAGAAGAACGCAAAAAACACTGAAAAAAAACAGAGACACCTCCAGGGCGTCGTGCTCTCTAGTTTTTTGAACATATGCATCCTATTTCGGATCATTCTTCGGTGCGATCTTTTGGATCAAATTCAGGATCATTTGGCCGGCGAACCATGTTGACCGGGTGTTGACCATCGCACACGTGTGCCACGATCCACCGCCCTGCCGCAGAGCTGCAAGTCTTTGTCGCCAGCGACAGGAGTGTTTTTTTGGTTGAACAGAAATGTCTCAACATGAACTCAAATAGGAAAAACACATGTTTTTTTTCAAGATCTAGTCTGTTCTTTTTAATGCTCGTTTGTCTAGAATTTCTTGGCTCATTTTTTGGGGTGTGTATTTTTAGACTGGGAGACCAGTCACTATAATGGGTTGACGGTAGACTGATCTATTTTCCTTCTTCCAGAGAGGTCTCCCTATGTCAACACACACCCATGTAGTCTACCAGAATGGTTTTATGGCTTTACATCTCCAGACCAGGGTGGTTTTATCCATCATCAGTCTACAATGTCTACATACATTATTCTAAAGAAAGAGACCCCCAACCATGCCCCCACACATTAGTTTGGGCCATATCGGGGGCCGCACTCTTTCTCAAGATTAAAGCACAACACCTATATGGACTTCCCTCCAAAGCCTTGGCCCAAACGGGCCGCACCGTGCCACGCACACCGGGCCGCACCGGTTCCTCGTGATTGGAGTGGACATGAGTTGTTGTATTCGTCAGTCCAAGGTTGTAACCCCCATGAGGTCCATCAGCATATCTATATATAATGCATAGTTTGGATTAATAAACCCCCCTAGTTAAACCGCGCCCACACAGCCCCCAAAAATCACCCAAATTGAAAGTATTATTGGAGCTAAATTCCACCCCTAATAGTGTACTTGTCATCTAGAACCCCCCAATTAAACCGAGCCAGACAACCCAGAAAATGTAGTTATTTATTTTTAATTATTAGATTAACTAAGGGGATATATTTATTAGCTAAGGGTCTAATGGCCTCATAGCATATTATTCAAGGGGGGACCTCATGAATTGATAACCTCAGACCTTCTGGATCTTGTTGACCTTCTACGTGGGGGGGCCGGTTTATTAATCCGGGGTTTGTTTGCATTAAACACCTAGTTCCAAGGTTGCACCCCTGTTTTGGCGGATCAATTATCCAATTTGTTTGGCAAATTTCCCTTTAACACAGAGGTCATGTTTGGCTTCTAGGTGCATATATATAATATATATGTAACCTTATTACAGAGACCACAAATTGAGGATGAGCGTTCGGAATGAGCGTTCGGCACACCGAAACACCTCCGAAGTAGCCATTCGACCCGCCCGTAGACCGACCATTAGCCGATTCCATTCACCCGTGGTCAACGGGTCGACCGTTGTGACGTCGCCCTGTCGTCGCCCTGTCGTCGCCCTGGTCGTGCGAAAGCCCTATCCCGCACACCAGCTTGGTGGCTGATCAAACACAACCACCCTAAACTCACTAAGCATACCCCTCCAAAGAAGAACACATGTTTTTCGAGTCAGGCCCCAAGAATTGCTTAATTGCGTTGTGACATCGTGCCCTTGTTCGCAAGCCTGCTTCTCGAGGCTTCCAACTGTCAGGTTACATACATTCCCACAGATTGCCAGGTGCATATTGAATTTAGGGTGCCTGCAAAACGCTCAACATTGCTTCCTAAAACCCATCTAAAATCTGCCTTGTGGCGACTACAAGAACTTCTTCCTTCCCTTCTTCTTCGAACTTAAGGGGATTTCCTCATTTTCGTCGGTCGCTGTCAGCTCGTGCCATTGCCCCAGCCGTCACGGCGGCACGGCATGTGTTTGTTGATTCTCCTCCCCGACCTCACAATGCTTCCACATCAACGGAGTCTGCAGCCTGGGTCTTGTCCAAACAGAATCTTCTAAGTCTTCCTCATCTCCCTGGATGAGCCAAAGAGAGCGGGCGACGCGGGCGACGCGTCTTCTTGGACGACCCTGTCTGGACTGCTTCCTTGAACTCATTGACCTATGCCGGCCTGGTACTCGTATTCAGCACAACGAAGGGAAAACAACGCTTACAGGTTTTTGCATTAGGGGGATGGGGTTTGCTTTCGTCTTTTGATAAAAGGCATTCCCGTCAACAGAAACACGCCACAGTGTTAATAGTGGGTTAGGGATTACTATTACACTCTGATAAGCACATTGAATGGAAGTCCCAAAGCCCCTAGGCCAAACAGTCTTTCCTGTATTTCCATAGTACATATTGGCGAGTTGCTTGAAGCACATGGGCCAGCTATGGTGATTTCTGGATGTGCTAGTTAAACTGCCACCGGCCTATGACAGTGTAGGTGTCTTTGACGCCAAAGTCATGGGCACTAGAGAATTTTCAGATCGATTTCATTGGAATGTGTTTAAATCCATACCCATACCTGAATATACCTAGAACAGTGACCTCTATTTTCAAGCACCAACCAAGATAGTCAGATGGTCATGTCTTTTCCTATCAATCAAAACAGGGGTCATCAAATGGAATTCTACGTAGATGATGTCGATTTCGCATGAAGCTGTCTGCGCCTGTCCTCAGGTCAACTGCTGCCTTTGAGCACGCCGCTCACCCGCGAAGACTGTCAGAAGAGATGCATGGAGTTTGAGAACTGCCGTGGAGCCCCTCGGTGGACGAAAAAGGAACAACATCAAAGAGAGAGCCCTGTAGATTCTCTACCAGCACCCGACTCTACAGGTCTCCTCCAACACGACTTTTGAAGACTTAAAAGTCGCAGGTGGTGACCTGTTAGAGGGTGCTGGTATGTTCCTGTGTAGGATCTGTATCAAAGAGCCCTTCGGACATCTATGTTTGTTTGTTTCTGTATGCTTCTCTTTGGGGTTCTTTGTATGTGTTCCTTTCTTTTTTTGACAGAGATTACAGAGACGACAGACATAGTCACAGTAGGATGGAAGGAGGTGTGTCCCACGCAGTAGGAGGTGTTCGGTCACAGCCACTGTCCTGGAGGAATTTTTGCAGTGGGTACTTGGAGGGAGTCATTCACATGGTTCAGGGAGAACGGAGAACCACCTGCTGGTGGAGAAACATGGTCTTTCCGGGGCCAAGAAGCTATCCACTTCATGTTTCAGGGAGTGTAGACAGACACAGTGGAATAGGTCTAGACTCTAGACGAGACGGGGTGTTGCGGTAGAAGCCCCATCGAAATCTGGCTTACATACCCTACGTACGTCCAATCTGACCGTTCGGTCCAGTCTCCTGGTCTGACTTACGTCCTTAACTCGTGTTCTATCATGTTTATTATGTTGTCCACGTCCAGTCAAATTGAGGTCATTGACCTGTAGGGATATGCGGTCACCCCATTTGTGGATTGTAAACCTCTTTTCCAGCTTTTCCAGAGTCTACATGTAAACATGACTCAAGCTATGACCTGAAACTAGATGCGGGGATGTAGTTCATGAGTCATGCGCCTAAAGAATCTGGCTTAGGGGCTCGGCAATCCTTGGCTTTCTCATTGTTCTTCGTTTTTCTCATCATTTTCTCATTGCTTTTCTCAAGGGAAACAAGCACACCGAGACCTTAGGTGGAACGGTCCTGTTCGACGTTATATAGGTTCCCTTTTTTTCCACGAACCGTTTACTGTTGGGGTCCGCCCCTGAACTCTGTGGCCAGGCTCTGTGTCCGGGCTCTGTGTCCGGGTCTTGTCCTCCTCTAGACTCTAGTCCTCCTTGTGTCCTGCTGTTGTCCTCTGGCCGTGCTGGCCAACCTGTGTCCTCCTCTTGTCCTCCTCTAGTTTTGTTGTCCTTCATCTTTTCGTCCTCTGTTGTCCTCATGTCCCCCTGCTGTCGTGCTCTTTACCCTGCTTTGCAAGGCAGGGAACAACAATGCTTACCGACTAACCTGTTTGGGGTCTATGCTGGTATACTTCCGAAAGAAAGAGGTGGTCCAACCTTTCGCCAGTTGCATGAGTTGGGTGCGACAAACGGTCTCCCTTTCGCCCGACCTCCTGAGGTGGAGTACCGCCATTCCGAGGATCGTTGCGAGATCCTGGCGCGGCCGACCGTGTCCCGACTTCGATGGGCCACGCCACCCGCGATGGGGCGGAAGAGGAGGGACTTGGGGGTCAAATGGATCGAAGGTCGAAGGAGACGATTCAGTTACAAGTGTCCGAAGGATTTGTCCATATTCAATCCACTAAAGCATGACCCGCTTTCTTTGCGGGGCCGTGGATTTGTCCATATTCTATCCACCTCAGGATGACAATGACTCTCTGCCGGCCAAATTCAATCCAAGACTGCCGAAGTAAACATATGTCATATGTTCCTTTCTTTAAAGGATCATCAAATGGGTATATGGTATGTAATAAAGTGAGTGTGTATTACGAGGTGGACCCTCCAAAACCCCTTGGTCTCATGACTTTGTTTTAATAGACCCCCAAATCTTCTGCTGAACGGTCGTGGACGGCGGACGGTCGTGGTCGATGCAGGTCTGTCAGGTCCGTCAGGTTGTATCGTGGACTCTTCGAAGGCTTTCCGGTGTATGCAGCACTGTATGCATGCCCCAAGCAGGGGAGTTCAAACAATGTTCTGTTGGTTTCCTATGCCAAGCACTGGACTTTCTCGTATTGCGGGCATTGGACATCTTCAGTGCTGATACCTCCCACGTTGGTCGGCTGGCCGTTGGACTGACCCAGCTTGGACCCCCGAAACCTCGGTGGCTTCAGACCGATCCAGCGTGAGCCACGACCAGGGACCACGAACCAGTACTGTGGTTGAGGGAGTGGTTGAGGGGATTCTTGAATTGGAACATTCTAGCGATTCTAGTTCGTTTTTGCTTTTGGATCCAATTCCAACATGTTTGCAGACTTTAAACCACGGTAGATGAAGATCCCTAGGTTTAGATTTCTGAACTGCGACCTGTTTTGTGCAGATGTGCGCGACCGAAGTCCCAGAAGAGTATTGGACAGTAAGCTCGGTTCGCGAAGATCCCACTCCAAATGTTGTTGTCTTTTTTTCCCGTGGCAGTGGATGTCAAAGATTTTCCCGTTCATATGGTTGGTGAATAGTCCATCCTGCCGTACTTCTGTTTGCATGGCTGTGATCAGCATTCCACCGTGAATACCATCAGCCGACACTCCCTGGAATCATCCAGGGACCGTGTGGATGGCATGGCGGCGAGTTCGGAAGACCATACACTCCGAAGACCAAGCAGTTGGTGCCTTCACTTCCACCATGATTCTAGAGAGTGTAGACCTGGAGTCTCCCTTTGTAGACCTCAGAAATTAGTATACATTATACTGTATATTATACTATAAGTTATCATCAACCTGTTTTTGGATGGGTCATGTCCCATGTCGGGTACAAACACGTACGGGATCTGGAGGGATCGACGGAGGGTCCATCGGCCCAGTGACCAAGGAGTGGTTCATCGACAACACCAAGCACCGAACGGTGGGAGGCGCGGCGGGAGGTTCGGACATCACCGTGTCCAAACATGGCTTGATTCACATGATTTACCATTTAATGTAGACTCTTGAGGAGGGCGGAGCCTCGGCTGTGCACGCGGAGTTTTCCTCGCCTGTACACGCGCATAGATTTACTCGGTTGTGCACGCGCTCCTCGGCTGTGCACCCCGCTTGCTCGGCTGAATGAATGAATGAACGAACGAACGAATGAATGAATGAGTGGATGAATGTCCAGAGGGACGTTATTAACACCCCCCCACCCCCCCCACCCCCCCACCCCCGCATCCCAACCCAATATCATCAATCAAACGCAGAGCATCTGTGTGATGTGGTACTGTGGAAGCAATGAGCAAAAAGAAATCATCATGACTCAATTTGTGTGTGCGCAGGTGAGCGAAATCTGTGTGCGCAGATGAGTTGGAGGCAACATGCACTGTTTAAAGAAGAATGTAATCGATGTGTGCGCAGCTGAGCAAACCCTGTGTGCGCAGGTGAGTTAAATGTATAAAAAAGGGCTGTGTGCGCAGGTGAGCTAAATCTTGTGTGCGCAAGTGAGGCGCCATCCTTTGAGGAGTCTACATTACACTAATTACTCCACTGATTAGGCCTTGAGCCCGAATCGTTGGGACTGGCTAAGACCTACCAACAGTCAAGCATGGGCAGTGGTCGTGGCTTCGTTGCATTCCGGTGGTCCATGTTGGGGATCTGATGGGAATTTGGTCGATCGAGTCACGCCATGGGTACTATCACACCAAGAGTGGGTTGCAAAGTCGGGTGCTATGGTGTACTGCTATGCTTTGCCACTGGGTCACCTTCCATATTGAAACAGGTTGGAGCACAAGCATTGTTGGACACCGCCCAGCTACGGGGTCGCATGGTAAACCACAGGTCAGAGATGCAAAAGGGAATGGACTCACATCCTACCATCGGAGGATTTGCTGTACGTGGGAAAACCCACCAGCAAATTGCTGACGGACCAAGTATCCTGCACCACATCTGTGGAAGTCTTGATCTGATATATGGACAATTGGCTGAATCTGGATGAGTCCTCTGAAATTCAAATTTATATTGTTTATACTCGAGTCGAGTGGAGAAGACTCACATACTCAAATACTCGGCACCCTCGCACGAGCATGCACAAACTTGCACACGCACAGAGCGTGGTACGTCAAGTGTGGTACGTCATCTTCAGTGGAAGGGAACTTGCCCAGGACCCTTGGATTTCGAGTGTTGGCTCTACAAGCCAACTTGCAACCTGGCAGAGCAGTCCGTCCGTCGAAGAAGCAAGTCGATTCGGACCACAGGGGATTCTTTCGAATCCGAGCTTAGCTCCTAAGCTCGGATTCTTCTCCCGGACGGCTTTTAAACAGCTGATATGGTTGGCTCATGACGGGTCGACGACGTTCTTCTCATCTTTCTTCGGATGTCCACGGTTTTTGCACCCCCCCCGGTCGTCCGGGGTGGTGTCGGGTGTGCGGGTGTCAGGTGTGCTTGTTGATTGGTGAGTCTTTCCGAACCGGATGAATTCCCCTTCTGGGGAAGATTTGGAACCTCCCAACGATGCAACCAGATTCTGCTGTTTCGAAACAACCAGATGCCACGGAAGATGCGGACGAAGATGGCCGGTCTTTGGGCCGCATGGCTAGACTGCAAATCCCACGTGGCCCTGGCATGGCCCTGGGTTCTGACTTCCACCCTGCTGGATCGGTTTGAGGCGATGTGCTGATCCAGCTGCGTGATCACGGCGCTCAGTCACCGACGTTTGACTGGGCCTGGCGCGTTTGCTTCGGGGAAGATGACGCGGCATAGCGCGGCTGGGGATCGGATTGAGGCCAAGGGATGCCAAGGGTCAAAGATTTGGGTGAAGAAGGTGACCTCCATGTCTTTGGAAGAAGTTTTTGGTGCCTCTTCATGAACTTGTGGCAAACACGACCATTCTTCTGGTACACTCGATCAGAACTGCAGGGAATTGTAAGTTTGTAGAGGGAACCTGTGAAAAGCTGAAAACCTATTTTGTGGTCCATCTCGGGAGTTCCACCATCAAGTTTGTTGAAGCCTTAAAAACATCTTAAAACTGATATATGTGCCACTTCTGGACGATCTGGTCACTGGTCCCAGATGTTTTTTCGGCCGCGACCATCTGCGGGCGCTTTGCCTGGATGGTCAATCGATATCTGTTCCCCCGCGACCATGAACAGCGACCGCAAATAGAACAGGATGTGTTACCAGCAATGGATCCCGCTGGTTCTGAAGCGTTACTCGCGTGATATCTACTGTTATCTGCCTATCTGGGCCAGAAACGGCAATTTCAGGTTGGTGAACTCTCATGAGTCACCCCGACGGCGGTCAGAATTATGCCGCAAAACACCGCTATTCAATCACCCAGAGTCAATGGAATGAGGCGTCGATCAATCCTCAGCAAAACGCGCGAGTTTTCCGCCAAGTGCGGAGAAATCCGAAGATCGAGGGTCCCCGAGCCAATCAACCTTGGTAAAGACAGAGGTGCATCCTGCATCCTGTAAAAATCAGATACAAAGGGAACAGGACAAATATATAAATGGCCGTGGCTATAGATGCCCAAAATCAAACCGACGGGATTCACTGATGTTGTGTGTATTCTTCCTTGGACTGCTACTCTTGAGTATCATTGATAATTGTACCGTTTGAGTCTACGGTTTGATTTGTCTATGCAAAGAAGACAGACTTGCTGAGATTCCGGGAGCCAGTGTTTTTGAGGATTGGAAGACAATGGAAAGAAAAGCCTGTGAAATTCCTATAATACACAACATTTCTTACAACCCCCAAATCATTTTGCCGAACTCACTCCGCACTGTTTTGTGCCACTCTGAAATGTTCGCCACACTGAAATGCTCACTGAAGCACGTTTGACTGTACCTGGATCATCCTGAATCTGACTTCAAGTACCTTGGAAGAGACTTAGTGGTGCTGACGGGGTGCCCTGTGCAGGCAGAGGCGTGGGTCGAAGATTCATCCAAGACATGCTTCCACGACCGAAGATGAAGAGACTTCAAGCTTTTGTTGTTCCTTTGCTTGAAATCTTGACCCATACCAATGGTATCTCTTGATATATTTTTTAAAGGATTATAACTAACTAACAAAAGACTCTCCTCTCTAAATAGAGAGGCGGAAGATGTCATTATCAAAATCCTGGGCTGCTGGCTGTTGGATATGATAGATCTCTTCTCCTGGACACGAAAACAGATCTACACAGCGCAGTCTTTTTTTGTTTAGAAGCGTTGGAACATGGATTTGGGCTGAAAAAAGGCGGCCGCCCAGGTTGAACTTAGCCAGGTCGGCCGACGGCGCATCCACCATGGCCAACGTCTGGAGGATGCGAAAGCGGCGCCGGATGGAGAGCCGAGCCTGAGCGGCGTTTTTTATTTTTTTTTCAAGCGAGGAGCCGACCCGGTGGAAGCGACATCCCGGCGGAGTGGAAGGTGGCGGCAAGGCTGAAGAAGTGCTCACATGTGCTCACCCAGAACTTCCAAGGACTCATTTGACTCCATCTGGTAGACATAATCCAGCAGGGATGATGTGGTCTTCTGGAGAGAGAAAAGCTGGATGGCCAGGAACCCCGGCGGATCTGAGGGTCTTCCAACGTCGGTTATCCTTCTTTTTCTATCAGATACATGCATGTTCCAGACATAAGTCAGTGTAAAGCTAACGAACTCGCAGCTCTGCGAGACCCAGCACAGAAGCAAAAACAGCACATGCCATGGTGTTGTATACTATTCCTGGACCCGGCCGTGCTATTCCTACCGGACGCGTTTCAACTCGTCGCGCTCTTTCCTGGACCTGACGACTTGGGGAACCCCATGCGGAAACGCGGAACCCGACTTGCTTCGGTGAGGTGTGTGACCTGTCGGCAGTACATTCATTCTCTTGAGACAAACGATGAACGACGGATTGGCCGCGACCACCTCCCAGTGCTGGGCTTCGAGGTCAGTTTTCCTCAGAAATCTCCTGGATCCGAGGAACCACGGAACGATGGCAGGTCTCATGGGTTTGAACGAACGAAGGAACCAAGACTTCAGAGGAACCGGTGTTGAGCTCTGTGATCCAGCTACCAGGCAGTGCACTGTACACTAGTTCACCAGTACATTCCAAAAGACTTAAGCCGTAGAAACCTACTGGGATCCACTAAAAAATGCGGTGTTTGAGCTCGCACATTGTGCAGACACGAACTTTAAATTTAAAGACCGAAGATGATTGCAGATTGGCTCATTGTGTTGAAGAGTGAACCGTGCACTGGCTTTTAGCATTCTTGCAAGCTACTCTACGCATACAATTTGGTATTCGAGAGTTCTATTAAATTGAATCTCCATTCAGAAAGTCCACCACCATTTGCAGCCACCCAAAGGATCGCAAACAAGCGATCATGTCAGAATCTACTACACTTTGGAGATCCAGTTCCCTGGAAGTCAAAGACAATTTATAATGGTTGACCTGGTTTTGTAGTGTAAAACTCTTAGTAAAACAATGGCGGTTTGATAAACCCTATTAAATCAATGGTGCTTGGAAGCCTAGGGAAAAAGCTTGGAGCCAGTTCTTCAAGCTACCTCTTGCTATACGCTATAAACTGGATAGTTTGTTGGTTGCCTCGTGAGCCGTGAACTGCGCGATTCTGGAGTGAAACACTTCGTGGGCAGATCGGCACTGCGTGTAGCTCGGAGAGCACATGGAGAAGATGTGCGGCGCGCGCGCGTGGAGGATGCGACTGTGGATCAGGATCCCAGGGTGTTTTATAGACCCCCCTCCTACCATGTGTTGACCATCCTAGAAGCATCTGAAATGAGTGGTGCTTGTTCACCCCCCCCTTCTAGTCACATGGAAGAGGAACATTTCTTCGTCCCATCGGTGCTAACCATGTGTATCCCAACGTCGGCCTCGCACCCCGTTCAACGACGCCTCGCGAAGCCGCGACGCCTCGTTCTCCGTTCGGTCGGCCTCGTTCCGCCAGTTTGTTGGACTGCGGGTTGACCGATGAGCTGGGGATCCCGATGGATCCCGGTGGATCGCGTCCGCAGGGTACGTTTCGGGAGAAGAGCGAGGATTCTGGGAAGGTTCTTTTTTTCTATACTGGTCTGACTCGTGCAACTGGAAACACCAGGAAATTATATGGATTATTTATATTTATTATGATTATTTTATATATAGGAAATGGATGACCACCTCAACACTTAACATTACTTAAATCCATAATATTCCATCATATTCTAGTCCCATGGAGTGTCTGGGTATGTTTGGGTTCTCCTTCCATACATGGAGTTGCGAGTTCATGAGTCCGTGCAGCTTGTGTGAGTCGATTCGACCGTGTGTGCAGCGTGTTCAGATGTTGAGAGGACTTGCCTTTAACATCCCGCTTCGCGCGGGATGTTGCTGTCTATTTTACTAGACAGATCCCTTAGGTGGATGTCGTACATCCCAGACACTCCATGTCCAGCCCCCAGACCTTCGGTGAAAAGAACTAGTGCACCCAGCGCGCCAGTGCGCGCCAGGGGGTTCTCCCTAGAAAACATGCAAAGCCGTTGTGAATAGAGTTCTTGCCATCAAGAGTAGAATGGATGTGAATGGAAAGCAATCTCCAAGTTTAAGGACTTTTCCAGACCACAGAGGAGTTCTGGCATCAATTCTGTAGAAATGTTTCATCACAACAATGGCAGACAGTTATACAGTTGAATGAACATGACAGGACATCAGTGCTGCATTATCTGATCATCTGATCCTCTCTTCTCTACCATTGCTTTGAAGCACTTGTGGTTGCTCCTCGATCGATTTTGCTGATCACTGAGAGGTATCCCTCCGCTGAGGATTCGTTGTTGAGCTTTTCTTTTTGTCAAATATACTGTAGCTGAAATCTTAAATGCAAGATAAACCATTCCCAAATGATGTAAAACTCTGGTATGCCAAAGATTCAGCATGTACAAACTATATACCCGAGTTCTGCCTTCAACTTGACTTTTTCCCACCAGCAAATCATAAACCCTCAAAACAAACCGACTAACAAGACACTGCGGAGAATTCATGGAAATTCTGCAAACAGAAAAAACAACATGTCCGCACATTTTGAACCAAATCGCACGTCTTCCGACCCCCCCCCAAGCAAAAGAAATACAAAAATACCAGATCGATCGGATTGACACCTCGAGCGACACATTGGCTGTCGGCCCCCGAGGTCCACGGTCTTCGTGTCCTTGGAGCTTCAAGGCGCGCTGCGCTGGTCTTCGGATGGAGCCGAGGTGTTCAAAAACGGTGAGGTTTGCACGCACTGAGTTGGACGCACTGCCCGGGCCGATCTCTTTGTTTTCGATGTTTTTTTTTTCCATTTTTTTTTCAAGAGCCGAAGGAAGTTTATTTTTTTTCCAAGAGCTGAAGGGAAGGGTGTTTCCACTGTTGTATATATGTTTGTTTGTACCGTGCGTGTTTGTTCTCTTTCATTTCTGTGTCAGCCGCGTTTCGTTGGATCGTTGGAACCAGGTCTACCACGGAAAACGGTGTGACCGTGGGATCGTTGGGCGGTTCTGGGGTACCGCACGGGATGGTTTCAATTGTCAGGATACGCCAGGGATCCCAAGGGATCCTCACATGGGGCGTACTTGGCTGGGCATTGAAACGAAAAATAGGCAGTCTGACTGCTGCGATCTTTGGAGATCAGCAATGGACAACTCAAGAGTGGGAACACGTCATATCCCTCTGCCATTGAAAGACTCCGAACACTTCTTGCAAACAGGGTGTTTTCCACCAGACCGTGGGAGTGTTTGAAGGAGCGTTTTGGAGGAACATCACTG